AAGTGAATCAAATGAGAATTTTTGTTCCTTAAAATAATTTTTTAAAAGGTATGATTTTTTTCACATACAAAATTTGGAAAATTCAAAAATATAAAGCCCAGTGTTGGTAGGTGAGAACTAAAACAAGAACTCTCATTTACTATTTAGGCAGGAATGAAAAATTAGTACAACCTTTCTAAAGGGCAATTTGGTAGTTTATATAAATTTCTTGAAAATATGCCTTCTCTTACTTTAGCAATTTCACTTCTAGGAATCTTCTAAAGAAATAATCAGAGATATACACAAAAATATAATATGACTATGAGGATACTCATGACAGAAAAATTGAAAAAATCAGAATGTCTTATGTAGAAAACTGTTAAATCAGTTATGGCACACCCATACGTGGAACAGCACGCAGCCTCGAATGCTGCATGTCGGAAAAACAACTACAATATAATGCTAAGTGAATAAAAGAATACAAAGTTGCATATGTAGTAGGACTCTAATTTCATGGAATATGATTAAAACCTGACGTATACACAAAGCCTAGAGGACAAAAGAATGTGAAAAACTATACCAAATGCTGATAGTGGTTATCTCTGAATCTCTGAATTATAGATGAATTTAATTTTTTTCTTATACTTTTAAATATTTCTAAAATTTCTAATTTTCAACATCTTTTATGATCTGAAAAAAGTTATCTTAAGACAATTCAAGAGTTGTCTTTAAATACAGCGAATGTAAAAATATTTTATGTTTAAAGAAATATGCTTGTATTATTTGGAATATTAAAATATAAAGACAGAGAACTCCTACATGACGGTAGGTAACCGACTCTCACGGATGGGGACCCACCTTACAGCGCCCCCCGACCCCTGGCGCCGCATTGTGTCTGTGTTCAGGGGACTGAAATTCAGCCACCATGTGAAAAGTTGATCAGCTTCCTTCTAACACCCTGCCACAAACACACAAATGTTAACGGACAAGCCAGTAACTTTCCTATTTTAGAGGGAAACAAAGGAGGGGGGAAGGAGGAAGGTAAGAGTGAAAGATTAGAGAGTTCACAGTGTTTTAGAGGAAGTAAAAAGACAACAGGAAAAAGCTGTGGTTTTTTAGGCATCAAATGAAAAGGGTGAGAATAAAAGATGAAATAAGCTCTATTTCAGAACAAAAATGAGGGATGAGATCTATAAAAATTATAACTACAGTAAGGGAGAGATCAGAAAAAAACATTAAGTGGGGTAAGTGGAGGAGATTCCATAATCAAGTCAACAAATTTGCAAGAGAAACAGTGTTCATTCGTCAAACTTAAGGGGAGAGACCTGGAGGAAGGCAAGCGCCAGGCACCGGTGCAGCAGTCAGCATCACAAAGAGCGTGGTCCCTGCCACTTCCTTCATTTAATAAATGTTTATTCGGAGTCCTCTTTGCGCCAGCGTCCGGGCTCGGCACTAGGTGCCTGGGATATAAACGCGAATAGAAGTGACATAATTGCTGCTTTCAAAAAGCTTATGAATTCGTGACAGATACAGACCAACACCTATTACAGTACCAAGTGACGGGGAGATGAAAAGCACGTGGCTACTATAAAAATGCATAACATAAAGGTGCTGATCAGTGGCATAAATTACTGTTAAATGTTATTAAAAACGAGAAACTAGGAAAAGGTGAAAAAGAGAAAATGTAGTAGATCAAAGCAAAAGAAATAAGTGAGTTTTTTCCTCAACTATCACTGCAAGTGCTAGTTGTTTTCTATCTTTTCAAGATAGCCATAAAGATACGCTACTTTTTATCTTTCTTGTGCAAGTCAAAGGACATCCGCAGCATTTAAAAAAAACACTTCAAATCATTCTGCAAAAACTTCAAGGAAATGTTACCTATTTCCTATATAATAATGAGCATTTTCTTGCTTATCTGAAACACTCGCGCCACGATTTGAAAAGCTACAACAGCATTTTTACTTACCAAGATTTCATTTTCAGAAGAGAAAACAACCTGTAGATGCAGGAAATACGTCTGCGAAGGCTTGACAAGGACAAGCCCTCAAGTGCGGCGGAATCTTAGGAACAGTGTGGTGCCATCTGTCGGCCCCGACGGGAACTACTCCTCCCAATAAATTTCACTTTCGAAGGTCAGGAGCAAAGCATGTGGGTTGGCAGCTTTTTCTGGGCTACGGACTAAACCAGTAATCAAATTTTTAAATTCATATGATCAGGCAGCTTATGAAAATTTCAGTATGAAAAAAATATTTTTCTGAAATAATATTTCTCCGCAGGAGTTTGCAGCCTGAATATTAAATTGTCACAAGAGTGGAAAGTTACTAAACTTAGCCTGTTTTCTGTCATCACCATATTTAACATTTCCAAAATAATTGCTATTACCATTATCAAGCAATTTTTGAGCATTATTTTAGCTACATGAGATACTTTAAAATAAAATAAGCTTAGGTCCACAATTTTTTTTTAAATCAACTTTCAAGGAAAGTTTAGAGGTTGATACATATTTAGCCATACGTAAGAGGAACTGCATCTTGTTTCCTTACATTATGATCACTATCTGGTTTTATTAGCTGTTTTCATTTTTAATTCTAGAGTAATAAATAACATTGAGATCCTACAGGACTAATTTAAAAATCAATCTTCTAAAGACCATTTAGAATTATTTTATTTTATTATTTTTTTTGAGACAGAATCTCACTCTGCTGCCCTGAATAGAATAATTTTAGAATAATATCAACAAGGTTGATACAAAAAGAAGGTGTCTGGTTAACCAAAGACTTCAGGTAGCGAGAATATCCTATTCCCCAGACTTCTCTCTTAACTGAGGTTCTGTGAAGAACTGAACACATGAGTTAAATAATCATTCAATAATTAATCCCACTGCCTGGAATTATCTCATCTTTACAGAAAACAAGTTAAGACTCTACAATTTGGCCAACGACAAAGTTGGACATCTGGGTAAGAATCACTTCTGCTTTTAGGAGGAAGAGAAAGGCCAGCTTCTTAAGATTCATCCTTACTCATCAAACATAACAGGAAGCCTTCTCAGGCCTGGGGGGGCTCTGTGAGGGGCCCCGGTGTCTATGGATCTCTGCTCCACCAGCAAGAGGAGACAGACAGCTCGCAGGCAACAGCTGTCTGTGGCACTGGGACACCAGATTTGTGAAACAGGCAGAGGAGAAAGGGACCAGCTGTGGCTTTGATGGAATTTTAAGCAACACTGGACTAAAGTCTTGAGAAAACACACACATGTCACTGCAGATATGGCCACATTGCACATGTCTCATTGGGGTATTGCTCACCAACACTGGTGTTTGGAACAAGGAGACTATTCTTGTGAAGGCTGTCATAACTCTGAGAAGTGTTGTCAAGCGGATGACAAAAACCACAAAAATCAAGTAATAGGGAAGCCAGCACGGTCATGGAACAAACGAAGAAACAGACAGTGCTGGGTTCAACTTGCCCTCAGCCCCTGACAAACTGTGCGGCTCGGGGCAAGTTCCTTACAGTCATGGAGACTTCACTTATTTCTCCACGAAATGGAAGTACTTACGGTTTTTCAGGGAAGATAATGAATTTAAAGTAGCTTGAACAGTGGTTGACACAGTAGAGAAGTCATAATAGTGAGGAGTTTAGAATTCTATGCAAGTCACATGTTTTTATATGCGGAAGCGGAAAGATGTCAGGATGCACTGTGAGGAAAAGCCAGAGCAGAGCAGTGTGGAGGCTATGACATCATTTGTATAAAATCTGGCCGTCACGCGTTCCTGTAGGTTATCTTCTTGCCAGGCACTATTATGAGTGCTTTACAAGCATTAATTCACTTGACCCTCACAAAGGTGCTGTGAGAGAAGTATTGTCACTTAACAGCAGAGCAAGAGCAGTTAGGAAATGGTGCGAGGTTTGCACTGCCAGTCAGTGGTGGGGCTGGGGTTCGAGCCCGGCAGTGTGGGGCCCCGGTGTCCATGTGATTCAGCATTACCCCATGCTGCCTTAGAAGACACCCTGTGTTCTCGTAGGAGAGACACAGAGAGAAGCAGAGCCTTTGCAAACAGCGGCAGAGATTGGAGCGCTGCAGCCACAAGCCAAGGAATGCCTGGAGCCACCAGAGGCTGGAGAGGGCAGCACCCTGCCAACACCTCGATTCAGGACTTCTAGCCTCCAGAACTGTGAGGGAATAAATTTCGGCTGTTTCAAGCCACACAATGTGTGGTCATTTGTTATGGCAGCCACGGGAAACCAATGCTAGGGTACACCTATGTGTGTTGATATAGGAATAAAAATATTTTTTTCTCAAAGGATATGTAAGAAACTGTTACCCCAGAGCAGCAAAACTGAGAGAGAGAGAAAAGGAGAGAGAAAGATTTTTATTCTCCATATTATGCCTTTTTGTCCTGTTTGAATTTTTTACTCTATACATTTTTACTTTAATTTTTTAAAAATAGTGTCACAGTGGGATAAGTAAAATAACATAGTCTAAAGCCAGCAAATATAGTGTCCCTATGCAGAGGCAAAACATTATTTTAATGATTTTTACTTTTTAAAAAACTGCCCTTCATCTTTATCCAGATGAATAAATAAATATTAGTGTCTACCAACAGCTTTGAAATGAGTTACATGACAATTATAATATCACTATCATAAAATACACAAACCATAGGAAAAAGATTGATAATGTATATATTGAATATCCATATTAAAACTAAAAGTTTCTGCTGAATTTAAAAAAAGACAAGCTACAGGCTGAAAGAAAATATTAATAACACATGTAATCACAAAAGGGTTCATATCCAAAATACATAAAGATTCCTTACAAATCAATACAAAAATGACTATCAAACCCAATGGGAAAGATGAGCAAAGGATATAAATAGCTGGATAACAGAAAAGGAAATAAAAATAGCTCAAACATATGAAAAGGCATGCATCCTCACTAGGACATAGGAAAAGACAATTCAGATAACCAGGAGACACCACTGTACACCCCCGAGGGGCCAGGCATAAGTATTTTGACAGCGCGAGAGGTGACCGCATTCCAACCCCGGGAGGATCAGGGCACTGAGACCTACACGTTAGCCTGAGAACAGCGCCCTCTGGTGGTCACTATATTCCCCATCGCACCTCTCACACCTCAGGGCCTGCGGGGGTGCAGGTGTTCTTGATTCTCACCGCCACTTCCAGATCACTGTTCCTCCATCCACCCCCGGAAACCTACTCCTTCCGATTGCAATCACTTACTGAGCTCCAACATTTCATCAAGTATTCTGGCACCACTCATTAAGTCCAATACCATCCCTTTCATAATTCTAGTGATTTCAATAGCCATGTAGAGATTTTTCTATTCCTCTGGCCTCTCAATTCTTTGATATTCTCTCATCTAACGATCTTGTCCTGCATCCTACCTCAGTCGCACATTCCTTATTATATCCTAGATGTTATTATCATTGCCTGCACCCCTTCTGTAATCTCTACTGCCAGCATTCCACTTTCCAGCTCCCATCTCCAACTCTTTCCCTCTGATGTCAACAATTCCCCAACTCTACTGCACCAGACTGAAAGAGCATGATCGTTCTTTTTAATCATTCTTCTGCATTCACCCTCAGCTATCTTATTCCTCCCTACTTAACCCAGGTCGAATCCAAGTCTCCACTGGACTACGCTGAACTCAAGTGGCTGAACAGACCTGGAGAAACACACACCCAGGCTGACTGTCTCACTTGAAGTTTATGCCTGGGTCCCAAACTCAAGAGGGAGAAGAGGGAGCAGCAGTCCTACTGCCCTCCCTACCACCCCTCCCCAGCCCCTTCGCTCTCCTACTCTTCTATCTCCCACCTTCTCCTTTCTCCCCAAAGCTCCCTCCCTTTTTCATTCTTGGCTGATGATGCTTCGTTTTCACAAGGGAAAAAAATGCTACCAGAGAGCATTTCCACAACCTTCTCCAAAACTACCAGCCTGCCTGCACTTTCCCTGCCCTTCTGAACAAACTCTCTCTGTCAGAGCCAGTCCCTCCCCATTAAGCACTGGATCCCCGTCCTGCTCATCTACTCAAGGAAATCACTCTTGCAGTGATCCTCTCTCTACTGCATCAACATTGTTCTGCTATCATGTATTATTCCAATAATCATATAATGCTACATCTTCCATCTTTACAGAAATCCCTCCCTTCTGACCCACAGCCTCCTCTTCCTTGTTCCTCTATACACCAGAACTCCTTGAAAAAGTTGTTTCATTCACTGTCTCTAATTATCCTCCTCTCATTCTCTCAAATCTACTCCAGTCAGGATTCCTTCCCCACCACTCAAGAGAAATAGTTCTTTTCAAGGTCACCAATGATCACCACATTGCCAAATCCAGTGGTCAATTCTCAATTTTCATCTCATGTAAACTATAAGCAGCATTGAACAGAGTTGAAAGATCTTGAAAAGTTTTCTTATTTGGCTTCTTGGACTCCGTATTTCCCCTCCCCACTCTGCCTGCCTCAAATTTCCTGCTAACTCATTGGCATTCCTTCCCAGTCTCCTTCTGGGTCCTCTTTATCTCTGACATGAAACACCCAAGACTCAGTCTTAGATCCCTTCTCTTCTTTAACTCCATGAGCTCTCACTCATCCCGGTCCACGGCTTCAAAACCATCTGTCTGGCCGGGCGCGGTGGCTCACACCTGGATTCCTAGCACTCTGAGAGGCCGAGGCGGGTGGATTGTTTGAGCTCAGGAGTCTGAAACGAGCCTGACCAAGAGCCAGACCCCGTCTCTACTAAAAATAGAAAGAAATTAATCGGACAACTAAAAATATATAGAAAAAATTAGCCGGGCATGGTGGCACACGCCTGTAGTCCCAGCTACGTGGGAGGCTGAGGCAGAAGGATCGCTTGAGCCCAGGAGTTTGAGGTTGCTGTGAGCTAGGCTAACACCACGGCACTCTAGCCCAGGCAACACAGTGAGACTCTGTCTCAAAAAAAAAAAAACAAAAACCATCTGTCTGCCAATGGCTCCCCAATTACTATCTCCAGTCTAGACTTCACTGAACTCTCACATTCAACCGCCTACTAAACACTTGCTAAATCATTCTTATTGAAAACCAAACACTTGAATCCTCACTACTTCAAACCCCAAAGCTGCTCCTTTTGCATCCTTTCCCATTACAGTAAACGATATTTCTACTCTTCCAGTAGCTCAGGCTAAAATCCCTGGAGTAATTGGTAACTCCTTTCTTTTTTGTTCAAACTCTACATCCAATCCATCAACAATTTTTGGGGGGTTTTTCTTCGAAATACGTCCACAGGCAAAGCACCTCTCATGCCCTCTGCCACTCCCACGGCAGTCAAAGTCATCACTGTCTCTCATGTGAATAATTGGTATCCCCTCCTCCACTCTTCCCTCCACCCACCCTCCCCACTCCATCCCAATCTGACTAGAATCAGACGCTAGAATCATGCACAGGCACTCCTACTCAAAAGCTGTAAGGATTCCTGTCTCACTCAAAGTATAAAGCCAAATCCCTATGAGGATTGCAAGGCACTGCCTGGTCCGCGCCCCCACTCCCCCGGACTCCACTACCTCTCTGGCCTCACCTCCTTCCACTCACTGCTCCAGCCCCATTGACTTTACCTTTCGGTGAGTTCACCCGCCATATAGTGCTGCAATTTCCCCATCTTTACAAAGGGATTCCTTCCCTTTGAATCCACAACTGCTCTTGCAGTTCCCTCTGCCTGAGATTGTCCTCAGATATCACCATGGTTCATTCCCTTACTTCCTTAAAGTCTACACTGAAATGTCACTTTATCAGCAAGGCGCTCCCTGCCCCTGGTTGCTCACAACGATCATTCCCTGGCCCTGTACATTCCACAGCCTGCTTTATTCCACCACCTGATGTATGACCTAGTTAGGGCCTATTTCACTTTCTGTAGAATGTAAGTTCTTAAAGGCAGGATTTTGTGTTGCTCCTTATTGTGTTCCTGGCACCTAAAGCAATACTTGGTACATAGTCCATACTTTTTGAAAAGTTGTGTTCAATAAATGGTTGAACCTAAAAATATATAGAAAAAACTAGCTGGGCATGGTGGCGCATGCCTGTAGTCCCAGCTACTCGGGAGGCTGAGGCAGGAGGATCGCTTGAGCCCAGGAGTCTGAGGTT